GTCAAAGTTATCACGGTGTTTGTGCATGAGTTATCAGGTCTGCGATGTGTAAACTATCATGTTATTTTCGCACAAGCTACCAGACGTGTATTATACCACATGCAGCCAGATAACTACGAAAATGAACCATGTTGATAACTATAGTACATCTAGCGCGACAACTGCATAGTAACCATGTTGGTAGCTATAGTACATCTAGCCCGATGACTACAAAATAACCATGTTGGTAACTATAGTACATCTACCTAGATAACCACAAAATAACCATGTTGGTAACTATAGTACATCTAGCCCGATAACTACAAAATAACCATGTTCGTAACTATAGTACATCTAGCCCGATAACTTCAAGAAACTACTGCCGTCTTGTTTTCCTGAGCTAGACACAAAGCCTAACAAAACTTAAAGCACCAAAAAACAGAGTCCTCCGCCGGCAAGCGTCGGGATCCACCGCACGCCCATGGCGATAAGGCCACCGGATATGTGGTAGATCGATGGCGCCGCCGACGGGAGGTAGAAATCCTAGCCGCCTTTTTTGTCCGTTGAGGAGAGACTCATGGGACTGCATGATATTCTATGTTATTTACACAGAAGTTGCCGGAGATATGTTTCTAACTTTTTTTCCAGGATCGAAGCTATCATGATGTTTGTACGTAAACTATCAAGTATGCGATTTAGAAATTATTATATTATTTTCATAGAAGTTACTAGTGTATGTTGCAAAACAACTTTTCTTTCCGGGTCAAAATTACCGTAGTATTTCCACGTAAATTAATAGGACCGTGGTGCGTGCGTAAAAATACCATGATATTTACATAGGAAGTTACCCGGGCATATTTTCAACTTGTTTTTCCTTGGGTCAAATTACCAATAGAAGCTACCCAGCTCTTTCTTTTTGCAGGGTAAAAAACATATTTTCTTTCGCTGGCGTGGGGTTTAAAAAGGTTACATTGTTATTTTCCACTTATAGGACATCAAATGAAGTTCGGTGGGTTGATTGTTGGCATCAAACAAATCCCAGCCGGGCTGGGTTCAATTTCCAGTCGACAGGAAAATAGCTTTCTCGCTTAAAAATAGCAACAAAATCGTTGCTTGTTTGATTGTTTGGCTCAACTAAGGATCCTAGGCGTAGACACCAAACTACCCACACTAATCAAAGTACAGCACTAGAGGAAAAAACAGGGAAATAGCTTTGTCGTGTACTAATATGACAGCAGTGTTTCAATACTGAACAACAACTTCGAGTGGCCGAGTTGGTGAGTGGAAACGTGCTGTCGGTTCATCCTTGTGCGCGAGACTAGGGATGGCAATGGATAGGGTATGGGTGGATACAACCTTCTTCTGCCTAAACCCATACCCATAGAAACCTTCTATACCCACCCACTTCAATACCCATGGATATAAACTTATACCCATGCCCATACCCATCGGGTATCCTATACCCAATGGGTACATACAATGCATAGCATTTAAATTTTTAAAGGGTAGATAGACAAGTATAAATTTCAAGCGATGATGGGCAGGCAGTATAGCATCGATGCGGCCTCCTTCGGTGGGTGGCTTTTTGGAGGAATCGTGCGAGTATGAGCAATAGCTAGTGGAAACCCGATGCAATGGGAGGTGACGATGGGAATCAGGAATCGCTGGATCAAGAGATTAATAGGAGTTCGGCGATGATAAATTCAGATTTTATTGTTTTGAGGAGACACATAGGATGTAGGAGGAGTGACGAGCATGTGCCTATAGGCCTATGAGCTATAGCCAATTAAGGAGTACGGGATTTAGGGTTGGGCCATGGGAGTTGGATGTTGATCCCACATGTCATAGAAGTTATTTTTATTCATTAATTATCTATGAGTATCCATTGGGTTATCCATGGGCGCATTTTCATACCCATGCCCTACCCATATATTTTGCGGGTATGGATACCCATTACCCGTGGGTACAAAATCTCTCAAACTCTTACTCATGCCCACTGTTTTCGGATAGGGTACCCGCGGGTACCCATACCCGTGGGCAAAACTGCCATCCCTATACGCGACGCAGGATCGAGTCTTGGCCGTCCTATGCGCCGAAGAGGAGCTCTTCAACATTGATCGGCTTTCGCGTGGGGTGTCGACCCTCGTAAATCCAACCCCGAGCCCCCATGGAGGAGCTTCACGTTCACGTGCATGCCTCCGCGCCAGGGCTCTCTCTAGTCTCTCCTAGTTCTCTACCGTCCCTGTGAGTGTGGCCATGCGATGCGCCCATGCCGTTGTGCCATTGAACGCGATCCAGAATCCACGTACCCAGCGCCCGGCCGGCTGCAGCACACGCAACACGACACAGTACGTGGACACATGGATGGATCGCACGCCCCGTCCGATCCATCGGGTGTCGGGGGACCAACGCAACTCGCAAGGATTACCACGTCCGTCCTACTCCTTCCGACGACCTAACTCGATCGCAGGAAGAAGCGTTTGCGTGATCGCGGCGCGCACTCGCCTGGGCGCACATGCCCGTCGCCGGTCCTGCCGGGCGTTGCGAAACCGCTTTGCACCACGCACGCACGCACGCACGTACGACGCACGGCCGCGCCCACCGACTGGTCTGGACGACCACATGCCGCCGGTAGGTACCAAGCCTACGTCCCCCCGTCCTCGTCCATGATCCGTCCACCCAAACCCAATGGCCCAAGCTATAGCTATCCGATGCCGATGCCGATGCGATGCGAGGTGACGAGGTGTGGTAGTAGTACCATGCAACAAGCCCTCGCTTTCCGTCGCATGATGCGCCCTCGTCCCGTCGTCTCGTCCACTCGTGCTGCACCAGAACCAAAGAAAAGAGAGCACACCCACCCTGAATCCCGATCCATCTGCGTGCCAAACCACACGCCAGAGTTGCCGGTACACCACTGACGTATAGTAGGTACCCTGCACTAGGACAGACTTAAAACGGTACCGCCGCGTCGCGTGCTTCCCAGACCAGCAACACGGCCCCACGCTCAAGGGTTCACAGCCTGTTCCTCCACCAACCCCGGAAGCTTTGCGCGGGCAGATCCAGCATCTCGCATCATCGCACTTTCTCCTCCTCCTTAAGCAAATCATCGGTGCCCATGCATCTTGACCAGACCAGGGGAGGCGAACCGTGCCCCCTTGCGTCTCATCTCAGCACGCCAAAGCAAGTCGAAAAGAGGAAACGGGAATGGCTATCCACGCCCCGAATGCTCCCATAACTTGCCCATCCATCAAAAGGGAAGCTATGCCCGGATCGGGGAAGGATTGCCGCCACCCCCACCTCAAAGCAAAAACACGCGAGGCGCTGCTCTCAACTCCATCCAGCCATGTGACGGATTGACACATCAAGTAAAAGAGCATCGCATACATTTACTTATATGATGACCAAAAAAGGGAAGATTATTTCAACAGTAATTGCGCGGGAAACAGTTGGACCATCGAGGCTACAGAAAACTTCGTACAGTTCCGGCCGACACACGGCAAAACAAAGAAAGAAAATTAAGCAAAGCGCTGTGAAATCACGGGAAGAAAAATAAACAAGTAGTGCTTCGTTCGTGCTGCACGGCGATGATAGTTAAGGCAGCATCCATACAAAACGAGCGAGCAAGCAGGCGGCGGTCAGCTCACAGACGCATTCGGTCGGTTCACTCATCTGTGATGATTTGAGGACGTCCGTCGTGGGCCAGACCAGAGAGCTTCCGCAAAAATCAGCAGAGATCAGGCCGGCCGGCGGACGACGTTCACCTTCACCGGGAGTATATACCGTTGGGCGAGCGGGAGCCGGCGGTGGTGGAGAAGTCGGAGCTGGTCACCGGGATGGAGATGGACAGCTTGGTGGCCGAGAAGGCGTTGCTGCTGTTGTTGGCATCGTGGTCCTGCAGCTCCGGCCACGAGTCCCTGTCCTTGGGCCACTCGTCGAAGAAGGGCCGCAGCGTCTGGTTCTCCTGCTTCACCGCCGAGTCGTCGTCGTCGAAGCCGCCGCCGCCGCCGAAGAAGGACAGAGGCTCCCTCTCCGTCTTGGCGAGCGAGCAGATCGCGCTCTGGTCAAGGTCGCCCAGGGTGCCCAGCATGGGGTAGCTGGCGAGTGAGAAGGATGAGTTCTGGGCCGGCATCAGGCGGCATGAGTAGTTCTCCATGGCGGTCTCCATGGCCGCAGAGATGAACTGGTTGTGCTCCTCCATCGCCGAAGTCCTAAACCCATAGGCAGAATACCTGAGTTGCACAAGTTAGCTCACAATCACATAGCACTTAATCATTCATGCACACATAATGGTGTTCTCCTCACTGTACTGGAGTTCTATACTAGCTGAAACTTATTGGACAGTGATGATCAGGGATATACAGTAGGCTTCACGTTTCTTGGCTACTAGACAAAACAAAAGGGACATGGCAATTGTTGCTGCACATTTTAAAGCAGGAGCTCGTGACAGAGTAAAACAAAACAATACAAAACAATACTACAAAAGAAGAAAGCCAGACATCTAAGCAAGCATGATTGGCAGCAACGCAGCATCATGCATGTGCTGACTGCCCCGCAGGTAGGTAACCCTACTACAAAGACGGAGCTTCGGTAAAGGGACATTGCTGGTAACTCATCACAAAGTTCTGATGAAGCAAACCCCAGAAATAAAAGCTTAGGATGGATGGATGGGCAAAAGGTCATGGGCTTCCATAATAATCATGCTAGCCTTTTCAGATGGTTTCAGGTGCAGGGAAAGGCAGAAACCGGTAAGTTTTGCTGGAGCAGAACTGACATTATTTTCTAGCCAAACCCAAACATGAAAAACAAACATGGGTCAGCAGAGGAAGAAAGGCAGCAAAAATAAATGTCAGGTCTAAGATGGAGCAGGAGCAGGGAGCAGCAGGGGCTAGGTCTGAGCATAAAACCCAGATACAGTTTCATCTCTTGCAGGCAGAGTATGCGTGTGAATCTTGTTTAGAAGAACGCTCTGCTCTGAACTTGCATCAGAGCAGAGCAGAGCACCACTCTGTTTCGCAATCTTCCCAGGCCAAAATCTGGCCCCAGAGAGCATGGCCAGATATACTACTGCAAAGCAATTACCTAAGCAAGCACAGATCACAGTAGTACTAACGGTGTCAGAAGAGCACTAGTGCTAGTCTGATTCAACACAGGCTCTGCTTGTCCACTGATGCAATCAAGCACAAAAATGGGAACATCACATGTTATCGGCCCTGACACCAATGACTAGGTAAAGAAAAACTAATCAGCACGGCAGCAGAGCATGCAGAGAAGATAAAAACAGCAAGTGATCAGCAGGACAGCAGAGCATGCATAGAAGGTAAATGGAGATCACCTGAAATCTTTGTTTCCGGCGGCACCAGCGGTCGCGTAAGGCGAAGCAGCATTGTCCATGTGCAGCTGAGCAGATCCCACGGCGAAGGAGCCGCCGCCGCCAGTGGCGATCGCCGGATACGGCGAGTGGCTGTGGAACGCGGCGGCGCTGGCGGCGGGGGCGTGCTGCTGCAGCTGCTGGGAGTGGGAGTGGTGGGGCGTGGCGACGAGCTGCGTTTCCACAGGCTTTCTTGAACGGTTGCGGCCGCGGTGCATGTGGCGCTCGCAGTACTTGGAGTCCTGGGCGGCCTCCTTGGAGCACCGCCACTTCTTGCCGTCCGTCCGCCGGCACCGCCCCGGCTCCGGATCCAGCTTCTTACCGAAGTAGGAACCGTACCCGACTGCAACACACAGGAAAACCACGCACAAACCCAAGTCAACAATGATGCGACGGCTCATGCATATGGACCAAAAACCAAATCAGGAGGAGACGCCTCCCATTCCGACGCAAGACGAAAGAATAACGCGTCTAGTCTCAGGCCGTGGCAATCAGTCATGCCGCCGGCCGGCCGGGGGCGAGAGCCGTCGCTGTCGGCCGTCCTGGATCTATCTGTTTGTCCACCCAACCAATCATTCATTTACCCCGCAGGAACGAGGAACGCGAAATTATTTCCGGGGAAAGGAGGAACTGTGCGCATCTACTACTACAGAGCAGAGGTTGATTATTGATCTTTTTTCTCGTTGGTCCATGTGATGCGACGCAGGACGGCTCGCTGAAATCGTCCGTGGCATGGCAGGACCAGCTCCGGCAGTGAGTGAATGCGTGGGTAAGGCTCCCAACAACCAGACAGGAATAACCCCCATGACAAGGAAGGACCAATAAACTACTCCACTTTTTAGCCTGGGCCAAGCAAAGACTCAACTAGTGCCATCTAATCAAATCGAAGCACATGAGGCTTCTTGAATCCCAAATAAATTAAAAGACCCACCGAGACAGGAGATGCTACTAGATGGTAGTAGTAGGTGGTAGGAGCAAATCTTGAACAGGGCGCGGGGCTTCTTGGATTAGAATAATGGGACCTTTGCTCGGCCAAATCCGGGAGAGGATTAACAAATGACCGGAGCAATTAACAAAGAGATGGGATGGGGGGCGAGTACACCTGAATCTCTCGATCCCAATAAACAACCCGAGCAAATCGCATGGGCGAATGCAAAAGCATGTAGATAGAAATACTCTGCCGAGGTAGGAGGAGGAAATACTTACGGGCGTGGTGGTGGTAGAAGCGCGAGGCGAGGGAGTCGAAGCCGCGGCGGATGGGGAGGAGGAGATCCGGCGGGACGGGGACGCCGGCGACGAGGTACTTGTAGATGAGCGCCTGCTGCTCCAGCTCCTCGTACTGCGCCGCCGTGAAGGTCGCCGGCCTCGCCGCCCACCTCGCGCCGCTCATCGTGTGCTGCTGCTGCTGATGATGCGCCGTCTCCTCCCCTACCCTGCGCACACACACGAACACAAAGACGCCGGAGCCGGTCACCGCATTAGCTAACACCTCGACATAGAGCTCGCCAGATATAAAGAAAGAAGAGAGGAGAGGGAGTTGGCCGGCCGGCTTACGAGTAGAGAGGGGAGGAGCGGCAGAAGGGGAAGATGGGGGAGGAGCGGTGGTGGTCGGCTGCCGGCGACAGGGAGGCAAAGGGCATCGCCATATATGCTCTCTCTCCTCTGCTGCGGCTGCGGCTGCGGCTGCTGCTGCTGCTGCTACTTGGCTCCGGTCCGGTCCGGCCTCTCTTTTAATGTGCCGTGCTTTTGCCTTTTACTACTTGCCTGGTGGCGCTGTGCTGTGTGTGTCTCTTTCCCTCGCTGCGCAGGGGCGGCCTCGATCTGCCTGGTGGAAGTGAGACGACGAGGGGGGGCAATGGGATGGATATATAGGAGGAGCCCTGGCGAGGTGGTGATAGGCGCGGCAGCGGCAGCGCCGTGTAGGGGTGAGGCCGACACAGCAGGGTTCCATCTTAGAGCCACTCTGGACAAGACTTGCTTGCTCCCTTCTCATGCTTCCATCCGTGCTCCCGCGTACGTGGCTTCCTTATGTGCAGTCAGGCTGTAAGAGCATCTCCAGCCGTTGGCCCTAAGGGGACTCGTAAAATCGCCGCCTGGGACGAGCCGGCGCTAAAAATCGGCGTGGGGGCGAGTGGGTTTCCAGCCGCTGACCCACGGCCGCCCCACAGACACCGTTTATGTTTTTAAAAGAAAGGCATTTAGCAAAGTTTGTCAAATTGAACAAATTATTTGGCTAAAGTTTGGCAAACTGGGCATATATTCGACATGTTCGACATTTTACATAGCAAAGTTATTTAAAAAAGGACCGCAATTACAACTTAAGGGCCGAAGAAGTCGCTGAGCACGACGAAGTCGCCGACGTCGCCGCCGTCGTCGTCGGCGGCCTTCTCCTCCTTGACGCGGCCGCCCGTGCTGGACACCTGCCCGGCGTCGCCCTGGCGGACCGGTGGCGGCGGCGGCGCGTCGTCGTCGCTGTCGTCGAGGACGACGACGCCTCCCTCGTCGCGGCCCCGACACCGAACTTTGAACTGCTCGTAGGCACGGCACTGGCGCTCCATCTCCATGCGCACCCAATCATAGCGCGCCCATTTCAAGGCCGCCGCATCGTCGAGCTCCCCGCCTGCGATCCCGGGCTCCGTCTTCACGACGGCGAGCTCCGGCTCCGTCTTCGATTTGACGTAGCGTGGAGGAGCCGAGGAGAAGGCGCGCCGGACGCCCTCAGTGATGACGATGTCGGCGCTGCGGGTGCGTCGGCCGAGCGGCATGTCCGCTGCGGGCTCAGCCTTGACGCCAAACACCGCCGGCGAGCCGGAAGAATGGGAAGAGGGGCAGGAGGAGGAGTGAGAGGAGGAAGTCGAGGAGGAGCCGAACCTCCTGGGCATCCATTGCCCAGCGCTCCGGTGGGGGACCAAGGCGGCCGCCGCGGCAGGGTATGCCAGCGGCGGGTCATTGCCGCCCTCAAGGTACTCCAGCATGTCGTGGAGCGAGCGGCCGGGGGCGCCCCACCATACGCAGCGGCCCTCGCCGTTCTTGACGCCCCCCACCACCGACGCCCCGTTGGTGGACGCCAGCCTCTGCGCCTGGCGGCACTGGAAGTACGTCGCCCACGACGCGTGGTTGTGGGCGGTGTACTGGGGGAGGGTGCGCTGCTCCTCCGTCAGGGACGCTCACACGCGGTCGACCTCGGCGGCGAAGTTGGCGGGGCACGCTTCAACATCGGGCACCGGGGGAATGGGGACGCCCCCGTTGCTGAGCCTCCACCCCGTCGGCCCGGCGCGCATGTCCGGTTACGCTGGGATGTTCGCCTCGAAGAGTAGCCAGGCCTCCCACTCGTGGAGCGAGCGGGGGCCGAAGCCGTTGGCCGCCGCCACATCGCCGGGGAATAGCGCGGCCATCGGATGTCTTGGGAGAGAGGGAAGGGAAGCTGCGCACGGGGAGAGAGGCAGAGCTCGGCGGCGGTCGGTGGGCGGCTGTGGGCTGGTGTGGCCAGAGGCGAGGGGGAGGCACTGGTTTTTATAGCCCCGCGCTGTGTGTACGCCTGGCGGGAGGGGAGGCGTCGCCCGTGACGAGGAATCAATGACAAGGCTGACCGGCGGCAACCTTGCCATTGATTCTACGCTGGAAACCGAGGCGTTCCGAGGACGACGAGGCGCGCGTCGCTGACTCGGCGGGCCCGCGGCTTTTTCGCGCCAAAACGGCTCGCCCCGGCGCTCCCGGGCGCCCCCAGCGCGCCGGATTCGGTCTGGGTTGGCCGGCGCTAATTTCGGCCCAAACCGGCGAAAAACGGGCTCCTGGAAATGCGATTGGGCCGTTTTTCGGTGCCGGCGCGAAAAAATCGCCGGGGAGAGGGGGCGTGTTGGGGGCGCGGGTGGAGATGCTATAACATTCGGCCATGTGTCAGCCATGCAAACCATATCCAATGGATAGCAATGCTCTAAAGCAAAACATCCTCCACACTTACGCCTGTGCATCCATCCAACACAACTGGACAACAAAAGTGCTTCGGACAGTGCAGAATTGATTAGTGGCAGCAGAGAAAGAAAAATGCATCAGGTAATTTCAGCAACTAGTGTTATGAGTGAACCATATAAGACAAAGAAATATGCTCCAGACTTTGCTGCTAGGCATCTATCCAGCACAACAAAAACAAGAAAAATGCTTCAGACTTGGATGATTTCAGCCATTAGAAAATACAAATAGCAGTTCTTCAGTTAGTTATCAATACAAATATTAGTTTTCAGTTAGTTAGCAATGCAAATAGCAATTTTCAGTTAGTTAGAAATACAAACAGCAGCAAATACTGTACATACATTAGAAAATTTGTTACTGTATACACACTGAATAAATGTTGTACATACATTAGAAGAGATAAGGTACAGAGTTATGTAAATAAATGAACCAAGAAATTGCAGAGAAACAGCAAACAAGAAAATTTAGCCCCACTTGTCATTCAGTATTTCTTCAGATTTCTTAAGGACAACAAGACACCTTTCAATGAAATTCAGTACCACTTATCATTGAAATTTAGTACCACTTGACATTCAAATTCAGAAACAGTCCTTCAAGTGTGGAAATTTGGCCATTTCACGTGTACACTTAGGCCATAAAATACTATATTAGCCCCAAAATACTATTAGGTAACCATGTCCAAAATACTATCTAATGAACTTGCATGCTAGAACATATTAACATCATCGCAAGGTGGAGCCATCAACAGTTGGGTGAAACTGATGATGCCATTGCCCCCTTGAAGCTCCAAATTTGCTCCTTTGTCGTTTTCATACTTCTCATTTTGTACTTGAGGCTGGACACCACCCTTTTCTTTTGCCGCACACCAACCTTTTTCTTTTGTTGCTGCCAATGAAAAATATAGTAATTATTTTACAAATGAATAATACAACATATATGCACCGTTTGCAGCATACCTTTGCTCCCTTTTTTATTGGTGTGGTAGCTTTAGTTGGTTTGTGCTTCCTCTTGAGAAATTTATCAAGCCAATTTTTCTTTCTCCTTAAGTTTGATGAGTGAACCTCTTTCTTCTTCAACCGTGCAGAACTAAGTAACTCATCTATTTGCTGCATTTTTGGGTCAACATTTTCTTTGTCTTTATACGGTTCGGTCAAAGCACTAAGGGCTGCATTGAGTAACTCTTCTATGCGTGGAGCAACGGAATCAAGTGCACTTTCGAGTACCACACAACATTCCGGAGAGTTGGCTGCTCTATGTGGCATATTGTGAAATTTATGAGACAGATCCTTGTATCGAAGTTGAGCTTCTAATTTTGGATTTTCCACCACGTTCCTTCCTTGCCTACCTTGTATACTGATACGTCTCCAATGTATCTATAATTTATGAAGAATTCATGCCATGTTTACAATAGTTTTATATGATTTGATTAGAACTAACCCGGACTGACGTTGTTTTCAGCAGAACTACCGTGGTGTTGTTTTTGTGCAGAAATAAAAGTTCTTGGAATGCGCTGAAAATCAACGGAGATTTTTTTGGAAAATATAAAAAATACTGGAACAAACATCTACCGGAGGGGAGTCCCGTGGGCCCCACGAGGGTGGAGGGCGCGCCCCTGTGCCTCGTAGACTTCCCGTGGGGCCCCCTGACTTGTTCTCGACGCCAACCTCTCCTATAAATGCCCAAACCTCCAAAAAATAACCTAGATCGGAAGTTCCACCGCCGCAAGCCTCTGTAGCCACGAGAAATCAATATGGACCCTCTCTGGCACCCTGCCGGAGGGGGCCATAATCACTGGAGGCCATGGGGAAGGATCTCGGAGGGGCCATCATCGTCATGAAGGCCAAGGACCAGAGGGGGAACCTCTCCCCATCCAGGGGGGCATGGAGGAGGAAGCACAAGGGGGAGAACTTCTCCTCCTCTCTCTCGGTGGCGCCGGAGTGCCATCAGGAGGGGAATCATCGCCACGGTGATCGTCTTCGTCAACATCATCATCATCCTCATCTCTTTTACACGGTCCACTCTCCCGCACCCCGCTGTAATCCCTACTTGAACATGGTGCTTTATGCCACATATTATGATCCAATGATGTGTTGGAGTCCTATGATGTTTTGAGTAGATATCCTTTGTCTTTGGGTTGATTGATGATCTAGATTGGTATGAGTTGTATGTTTTATTTTGGTGTTGTCCTATTGTACCCTCCGTGTCGTGCAAGCATGAGGGATTCCCGTTGTAGGGTGTTACAATATGTTCATGATTCGCTTATAGTGGGTTGCTTGAGTGACAGAAGCATGAACCCGAGTAAGGTGGTTGTTGCGTATGGGATAAAGGGGACTTGATATGTTAATGCTATGGTTGGGTTTTACCTTAATGATCTTTAGTAGTTGTGGATGCTTGCTAGAGTTCCAATCATAAGTGCATATGATCCAAGAAGAGAAAGTATGTTAGCTTATACCTCTCCCTCATATGAAATTGCAATGACGACTACCGATCTTGTTAAGAATTGCCTAGGATAATTCCGCATACCGACCTATCAATATTCCACACTCGCTATTTATAATATTTAGTAATATATTCTAACTTTATGATAACAACACCTACTTTTATATTTTAGCTCTCCGATATCATGCAAAGTTATCCTCTTCATACCCACAACATAGTTCTATTTCTTGTTTCTAGT